CACAGGAGGTCAGAGGTGCATTCAGGGTCAGATTGGTTCCTGGGGTTGTTCGGAACTATGTGTTATGAGTCGTCTTGGTTGGTTGGCCCAGAGCAAGAAGTCTGTACAAGGGACCCAGAACCCTTTTCACATCAACCATCATCCCACGCTGCTAACCGCTCCGAGTTTTAGTAGCCAGAATTGCAGAGAACTTATTGGCATGTCATCTGATTTTCCAAGATGACAGGTCTACAGTAGCTGGTGTCTTTTCTCTCCATGTCTCTTCTCAGACAAATTCTTGGCAGGGGAAAGATCCAGATGAATGGAAGACATGCTGTTGTCCCGCCCTGCACCATGTGTGGTCACCACAGCCACTGTTGCGTTTGTCCTATGTGTAACATGAAGCATTTGGGAAATGTAAACATGCTCTCTCTTTAGTCATTAGTTATAAGTTACAAAGACATGGGTTGTCAAAGCTTTTTATGATCCTATATACCACAGAAATATAGGCGTATACTCTCATAGGTGGGTTGTATATGTCGTCACATCACTGTGCTTCTCTAGCACAAACTGCAGATGGAGGGCAGGAAGCGATTTTCTACATAGGCGGTACTATCACACGTTGTCCAAATACCTACAGTTTCTCATTTACAGTTGATCAAATCAACAACACCGACAAAGCAGACAAAGCTTTTATCGAGCAATGAGAATAGTTGTTCATAAGGGGTGAAATGCAAGAAATTGAAAAACACTGTGTCAACGTGTTTTTACCCGACAAGATGTTTCTCCCATGTTAAACATTGTTTCCCTTAGCGACCCCATCAGTGGTCAGGGCTAGGATAAGGTTAGGGGGTTAAGGGGAAACAATTTGGCAAGGGAACACACTTCAACACCACTGACAACAATGGCTTGCAAAGCCTTTGACTGTGGCCAGGAGGAGCGGAGTGGGCTCCCTTGTATTGTGACCACTTATGGAGCTAGCTAACTGCTACCCTGCTGCTAAAGATGTGGGATGATTTCTCCATCCTGTTTCGCAATGATCATCCCACATCTTTAATGATGTGTCACTGGACCTTTGAGAGTGGTTAATCTACATTAATCTACCATTTCTCCTAATATCGTTTGAAAACTAGCATGATACGGATTTTACTTCATGTCTTTGTTCTCTTTTCTACTTCCTGCCTTCCATCTGAGTTTTGTGTGTCATAATAGCTACGTTTGCAAACCACTATTGAAAACATTATGAAAATATTTACTCATTCTGATTGCATAGTTCAGATTTTATTATACCCTGCAGTGTTTTATAGCCATTCAGCCATGTTTTCTGTACTTTACATCTTTGTGAAGATGCCGTGTTTGCTTGTATTTTGTCTATTTGCATGTTTTCCCAAGTTATAATGTGTTGAACTAATTGCTCTGAAGAGGAAAATGCCTGCTGCTTGTTTATTCTCACCATTTTAAAAAACCTGTTAGCCTTTTCTCATCCACTTGTCATTTTTCTCCTCTAACTGCCTTTCAGTACAGTTATGCACAGTGTGTGACTGTTACAGTAATGAGGAACTCGCATGTGAACTTTGCCCCCCATCCATCCCCAAATATCTTCTGACTAGTTACCATGGCAACTGGCACAAAACCCATTTTCCTGAAATTTGGCCATGGCTTTTAAAAAAGGAGAAAAAAAAGTGAACAGTTGTATTTGTTGTATGCAGTGTAAAAACACACCTTTCATATGGTGCCAAAGAGCCTGGGAGGCTTTGTTCTCTGTGCAAATATGAGTGGCAGCCTCTTTTCTGGCCGTGAGCAAACATTGCATTCCTCGTCATCCTCCTCATGCCGCTGAAGGTGAAGAAAAGAACCACTGGCGATGAGATTGATTTGCCTTTAATTAACCATTGTACGATGATTCACAACTTCTGCCAAACAGCTGGCATGATTTATGGCCCGTGCAGAGTTAGCACTGCAGAGTATAATCTGATGTCTAAGATGCCAAAATATACACATGCTGAAAATGTTATGGCCTCATTTAATTTCCCCAAAGTCTGAAGGCCACTAGCTCCAAAATTATGTAATATTTTTTTTATTATTATTATCAAACAAGGAAATAAGGATGGGGCAGCACGGTGGCGCGGTGGTTAGCGTCATTGCCTCACAGCGAGAAGGTTCCGGGTTCAGGCCCCACTTGGGACCCCTCTGTGTGGAGTCCAGCTTCCTCCCACAGTCCAAAGACATGCAGTTTAGGTTGATTGGTGTCTCTAAATTGCCCATGTGCGGTTGTTTGTCTATGTGTTAGCCCTGCGATGGATTGGCACCCTGTCAAGGGTGTACCCCGCCATTGCCCGTGCCCCCGCTCAGGGACTAAGCGGTAGAAAATGAATGAAATAAGGATTGTTTTGTACCTCTGAAAATGTTTTAGGGCATACAAACATAACTGACTTTAGTTAAAGTTAATTGTATCCATATAAAATGCACATACAGCAGAATGAGATACCAGTCCTCACGGAACCAAGTAATAAAAGTGCACAAAAACATAACATGCAAAATAATAAAACATTATATATGCAAGTAGTTATGACAATCTGGGTCATGTCCAAGTCTAAAAATGTGTTTTTAAACTTCAACATTGTACCATCATTCTTTTTAAATTTTTGAGTAGTTATTTTCAGAAAAAAACTTTTTTTTAAATATAACATTTATTACTTCCAAACAAGATCAACAAGCAAAATAATGAGGTATATTATTCCTGTGACACAGTTACAGTCATCTGCCATCCTGAGCCAGATGTCATGTTGCTCTCTGTTAAAGCACCATGTTAACTGTTTGTTGTTCTGCACTGCAGACTGTTCTTGCAACAGCACCGGCTGCTTTTTCTGGCTGCTTTTGGGCTTTTAACACAAATCAAAGGAAACTTTAACTTTACAGCCTATATGCTGTTCAGTTAGAGAAACCACACTCTCACTTTTCTGTGGACTTTTGTTGCTTTGAGTTTGAGCCTTTACAAAAGGAAGCAAGTCTGTCCTGAACACACCGCAAGTGCCCATCTGTCAGCCGCTACAAATTCCTGACAATGCATTGTTCTCAGCTGATTGAAGTGTTTTTCCTTTTAAGACCCAATGAGGGCAAAGAGTGCAAATCACTGACTAAGCAGGGTGCTCTAGCAAATACTATATGTCCTCCTTCTTTCACTGTAACAGACTGAGGATTGTGCTGCACCCACATGGCTGCAGTACCAGTCAATACTTTAAAACAGACATGGAAAAGAAGAAGGTATTAGCATATCAAAGAGCAGCATCTGACACAGCCCTGTCTGCCAGCCTGAACCTGAACTAAGTGGGATGGGAAGAAGAGCAGGGGGTGGAAAAAGTAAAAGTCCACCAGTTGAAGCTCGTGGAGGATTTTATCACTGCTCATCAGACACAGGAGGAGAGATAGTCTAGACCTGCAGGAAGGAGATTAGGGGGGATACAAGGGGGCAGATGAGATGTGTGCTCTCTGCCTCAGGCTCCGATTAAACCCAGCATGCTCACACACATGCTTCAGTTTTCAGTGTGAAAGGTCAGAGTTCAAACGGTGAAAGAGTGGTCATGAAAGGGCAAGAAGCATAAATGGATTCGAAGTAACTGAGAGAGGAAAAGAAATGCACACATCAAAATCATCACTTTTTGCATCATGTGAGTCCCTCTGCTTCCCTTTCCATGAGTGCAGTTCACTGTGGGTTTATGGGAAGCAAACAGTCACAAGTGCAATATTTTTACTTAGAAGGGATATTCTAGTGCTATTTACAGTAAGAAAGTGAATGAGGAAGAAAGACAAAGCAAGAGAAAGCACAGAGTATATGGTGTTGGGAGGTGGGTGATGCAGCAGTTCAACAGGTGCTACGGCAAAAAGCAGCACTGGTAGATAGAAAGGGAGACGAATGTTTGGTGTCAGATCTCTCCTCTGGCTTTTGTCTGCTGTCAGTGAGGTGAAGACAACCAGAAGAGAGTAGGGAAAAAATACAAAGAAGAAATTACTTTTGGTTTTTCTTTTTGTTTTGTTTTGTTTTGTTTTTTGGCTGGGATGCAAGACTCACTGTATTACAGCTGTATTTAATAAAAAGCACAGCAGTGTTGATACGAGTTGGGGAATTTCTCCAAACATCCTGCACAGCTAAAAGGGCTGGTCCTAGTGAGGCTTCCTGTTTTAAGCCCTTGATGAGGAGGTGAGGAGACAGATTGGACACTTTCTAGAACTTTGTGCTGTTGTGAGTTTGTCCACCAGGAGGTAGAAGAGCTCCAAAACAAGCAGACAGACACGCAGACGCTGGCGTATTTAGCACCTCATAAGGATATGACTGATATGTTAACAAGAGATTGCCTGAAGGATTCAAAGTATCTCAGCCATAATGCATATTCATTTGGTAGTTGGGCTGTCAAGTTCAATTCAGATAAAGACATTCTGCTCCCTGTTAATATTGTAATACTCTCCGTTCCTACACAAGCAGCCAGATGTTCTTGTGGTATCAATGCCCTTTTATTTGTAATCACTTAACAGACTTTGATGCTGTTGTTTTAGCCACAGCACATACTAACAAGCTCTCTTTGAAAAACTCCCAACATTCAACACTCCACAACAACATCAACAACTGCCTGCTCTTCCTCGCTCTCTCCTCCCACACCCCTCACAGCGCCCCCTCTCACATTCTTTCAGGCAATAACATGTAGAACCATATAACAGGATGCAAAATATTAGAACCATATAACTAGAGGCTAGACATCAGAACCATTACAATATTTACATTGATTTCATTGAGGCATCCAACTGTAAATAGCCCAGAAGGTTTTTGTACCAGCAGGTACAGGTACAGGCACAATAAGGCAGTCAATTACCTTTAAAAAAAACTTTATCTCTGCACTGAAAACCTTAAAATAACACAGGAATTAGTTCTCTGCTCTAAACCTAAAGGTGAGATGCTTCACCCCATCGCTGCCAGTCATGCACAGGTGTTCACACTGCATTACAGTGCACTTTGCCAGCAGTAGCTTTTGCACTCGGCACTGCTTGGCAGGTCTCCAAGTCTAACATTTCCACTGAGTCATCTAGTTAATGATTTGCGTGTTACAGCCATGCAGGCTGGTTATTCAGTCTTCTCCACTGTGCCTACTTGATCTTTTTTTATTTGCACATTTGTGTTTATCACTGGTCTGAAAACTAAGCACACTTTCAGTTTCAACAGTGATAAAGCAGCTGCAGTCCAACTGTTCTTACATAATACAAGAACAGTGGTGAAGAAGGGAGGACATGGCACCTACGCTGGTGAGTCTCTTGCTACGCAGCTATTATAGATTTTGAGTTTATGTCAGTTTAGGCTCATAGACTGTGTTCTTTCTATGCTGACAACATTTAACATGTTTGTCGCGTTCGCGTTAAGCGTTCCTGGATTACAGTGCATAGAAAAGTGGGTGGAGCAATGTGTTACGTCTTAGCCAAAGGGAAAAAAATAAACACCAACACTACTAACACCAAAATAAGAACGACGAAAGATATTTTAACGTGAAGCTGCCGACGCAATGCTGTTACGCAACGGTTCCTGCCTTAATCGTACTGACTTCCTGTTTCTGTCCCATGTTATGCTAGCTACCAGGTTGTTTACAATTAAGCTCACTATTTTCTAAGTTTATATGAATTTTTTGCGTGTCGACATACGCCTGCACTACTTAAGCATGTGTGTTACAGAAGTTCTTGCTAAAACCACCATCAAACAACAGAATAAGTTCTTTTTAATTACTAAATTTAACTTGTTACTTTAGGTCAAGCTAGCTTAGAAGCTAGCTAAGCTAGTAGCTTAGTTAAGAGCAACGGCTTCCCCTTCTTCCTTTCCTTCTCTCTCTTGCTCCTTTTAGTTTGATGTCGTGGCAAAGCCAGGAGACCTGATTGAGATCCTCCGTGGGAGATTTAAGCACTGGGCTGTTTACATTGGTGGAAATGAAGTTGTTCATTTGATTCCTCCCAGTGAGTGACATGTTGTATTTACTACATTCATGTTAGAAGATCATCTATAGCCTTTGCCCCCCATATAAAATCTAATTTTGTTGGTTAATTGCTAAAATACATAGGATTTGCCTTCATGTGGATATTAGCAACTGATTATTTATTGAATAACTTATTAGCAACTTATCCTAAGCTTCCTAATTCTAACTTCTTTCCTGTTTGTCTCTTCTGTAAAACTCAGAAAATCGTGTGGGAGCTTGGGACCTGGACAGCAGCACAGCACAGGTGAAGCGTCAGATGCTCTGTGATGTGGTGGATTTCTACCATTTCAGCATCAACAACCTGCTGGATGATGAGTACACGCCTCGCGATGGTGACAGCATCGTGAGGGATGCCTGTAGCATGGTGGGGATGGATCTGCCCTACAACGTGGAGACTTGCAATTGCCAGCACTTTGCTTTGGAGCTACGATATGGCAGGCCAGAGTGCAGGCAGGTGGGTGTCCTGTTGCTTTTAATGCTATTGTTTGGTTGGCTACCCTAATGTGAGCAATGCACTCTGTAAAAAAGGTTAAAAACAGTAAAGTTCTGGCAGCTGGGGCACCAGAAAATTACCATAACATTACAAATAATAACCATCTTATAAAATACAGACATTTCTTGTCATTTTAAATATTTTTTCTTTAAAATTTAAATAAAATCTTTTGTATTTAAAAGGTTTTTTATGTTAAAGATATTAACCTTTAAACCAAATTTTTTTTTTTTTTTAAAGGTCATTTTAAGTAAATTGACAACAATATACTGCTATTTTTGCTATTATGAGTCAGTATTCATTGTAGTTTCACAAAAGTTAATTCTTCAATTTAAATATGTATTGCAGACCATTTCCACCATGGGTTTGTCATAATGGGGAAAAAAAGAGTAGAGTTGCAACTCTCACGCAATGCATGCTGGGAAGTTTGCTAGTTTAAATTGTGAAATGGTAAACTGTAAATATTAGTAGAATTATTAAGAAATAACTTATTATGAAGTCTTTTTATTTGGAGGGGGGACTTTATGGTAATACATAGCTATAGGATTTTCCTGTTGACAGAACAGCCAAACAAAACAGGGTGACTGTGATCTGCTCTAATGCAACAATAGAAGTAATACTCTCGAGTC